ACGATCCTCGCATAGGCATCCGTTAGATGTAACTGGAAAAAAGGTTCTCACGAGCGAGAAATCCAAGAATTCGCTCTGGGCTTATGATACATAAATTATATTTAATAAAAGTACAGTTCAATTTCGACTTGTAATATGGTAAAAATGAGGAAAATAATTTTAAAGATGACCATAGTTAACATAGCAATAGTATTTAACAACAAAACATATACAGGGTAGCCCATATAACTCTTAACAGCTCAATATCTCGAAAACTATGCCATCGATTTTAAAGTTCTTGGTCTTAAATTGCATGAATGTGAAGGACCTTTCTAACTACATAAACGTGAAGTGGCCCCCCCTGCCCCTTTAAGGGGGGGGGTACCTTTATAATTTTAAACAGAACCCCCTATAAAATGTTACATATTTAGATTCTACAGGAAAAAACAAGTAAATTTTGTCTGAAACATTTTTTTGTCAGATATTTCCATGATGAGATATAACCACCGACGAGGTATAGGATAGACCTATCATCTTATGGGACTTCGTGTCTCATGTTCTGAAATACCGATAGTGTAAAAAGTCAGGGATTTTCTGCTGCTCTCTGCGTTATGAGAACGGTGAATTTGTGAACTACGTTAAATCCATTCGAGCTCAACTAGTCTAACTTCTACAGTGTTGTCAAGTTTAAAGTACAATGTTGTCAGATCATGAGATTCTTTTCCGTCCGTTCGCTGTAAAGTAGACGTCTTATGTAGAAAGGAGTCTTGGGTTCCAAACCTGACGGACCTATTGGTTTTTTTTCGCGTACAAAAAAGTTATTGCGTTTAATATTGTTTTATGAATATGTATATGTATTATTATGTACATTAGAGTAAATTATTTTATTATTCCATTGTTATTACAACAGTTTAACAGTGACAACGAACGCATGTATATTTTCAAATATCGGACTAACAGTATATTTTTATTCTATATTATTACATATAAGTGAGTAATACGTATCAAAAACGTAATCGAAACACAGATTTTTATTACATCACAAACATCGCATAAAAGATATTTCGTTATATTGACATTTGTAATAATTATGGATGTTGCGGGGAAATCTATTGACATTATGGAACATGTAACGAAATATCACTGTAACACTTAAAAAAGTTTTAAAGTTCCATTTATATCATTGTCCTGTGAAAATGTTCATACTTCCAGCAACATTCATATTCCAATCAAAGAATTCACAGAATAAGGAAAAGGAATCTAAAGTAATATTCAGTAGTTCCATACATCTTTATCTCGAATA